AGGTGTGGTGGTACAACATTCGCTTCTGGAGGCTAATGGTGACTGGCATATGGACCGAGCGATCGAACATTTCAAGAGTCTACATCCTGATGAGCTAAACTTGCTGCGCGTGATCGTCGTAGATAAGGATCTGAACGAGGTTCGAGTTCTGCAGTCGCACTTTGGTGAAGCGCGTGTACTTATTTGCCACTTCCATGTGATCAAATACTTGAAGGAGAAGCGCTCGAAACCAGAATTTGGCAAGGTTTCTTCTGATGATGCTTCGCAGATCGACGCTGCACTCCACAAGATGGTGTATGCGGCCAGCCAAGACGAGTACGACACCACTCGAGACTCTTTGAAGCGGTTGTGTACAAGAATTGGACTGGATGAGTTTTTCGAGTACTTCATGCGGAACTGGGATTCTTGCCAGGATATGTGGGTTATGCATTTGCGAGCTAAGCTTGCTCACTACAAGAACCATACGAATAATCGGCTGGAGAATTTTTTCGGGAAGTTGAAGGAGGTTATCAACAGCAGTATGAGCTTGGCTCAATGTGTGGAAGCCCTCGTTGCAGCTGACAGACGTGCAGAGAAAGAATACAAGTACAAATTGTCGCGCATTGGTCGATTCGTTAACTCGAACTACGACGAGGAGATGGGGAATGTGCTGAGGTCCACCACTCACTTCGTTGCGGAGCAAATTGAACCCCAATACGCCGCTGCATTGTCAAAAGCTGAAACATACTCGTACGAGGCTCACAAGAACAATTCGGATGAGGTTCTTGTGCTCGGAACCTTTTCGTGCCATGTACTCAACACAAACGACTGGCGTTGCGACTGTGAATTTTCGAAAAGTATGCGCTTGCCATGCCGTCATGCCATCGCGTACAGGCGCCACATTCAGTTCGCAGGACCAATGATCCCATGGAGTTGTATTGACGAAAGGTGAGATTAATGTATAAGTTGGTACAGGATTTATCCAGGATTTTAACAGGATTATGTGTGTTCGTATAGATGGACAAGTCCTGTCACCAAGCTCAAGGTGGTGTGGCAGCTGCAGTACGAAAACTTTCAAAGCGATATACGTGAAAACCAACGAAAGAAACGAAGGACCCAAGCGGATCGCTATAAAGAAGCTGTTCGAGCGACGCATTTGATAGCGTCGGAACTCGCTGATCTGTCGGACGACCAGGACTTTGAGGACATGCTTCAGTATGTATTGGAGCAGTGGAGACACGTGAGGCAGAAGGTGAAGCTGCCTCTTCAAGGCACAGAACTCAAGCGCGAGAGTGAAGAAGTGTCAGAAGATTCGACTGAGAGCCAAACACTGAACATCGAGAAGAAAGATACGCGAGAAGCAGGTTTAAGGGTTCGCATCAATTCAAAAGCGAGGAAGGTGGGGCGTCCGCAGAAACACCGAAAGACAACTGCTGCAAGTGAGCGAGCCGACCGTAAATGGTACAAGGCTTCCGAGTCTGGACGTGCTTTAGCCGGAGCTGATACTCTAGAAGAGCTCTGGTATTCTTTGTCGCGCGATCAGCCTGGACTTCAAGAAACTGAACGGCGTTTGTCTGGAGTGCTGATCAAGTATCATCAGACCACCGACAAGAAGCCCTTGTTTAGAAAAATGCGAAATCCTGTACTAGTCCTGGATCCGTTCTACATCCTACCATCCAAGCTTCTTGATCACTGTATGAAGGTTCTTCCTGTGGGAAACACATTGCATCAAGCAGTGTGCGTTGATACTGGATCTTCGGGTGATGATGGTCCCACCGCGGTAATGGAGGTTATCCAAATTAAAGACGTGGGGTCTTTTTCGCGTCCGCAGATCCAGTTAATGAAGAAGATCGACTGTTTAAAGGCGATCGTGCAGCAAGGAATCAACACGCACAAATGGATCCTCGAGGAAGGCCTCTCTGCGCTCCCTGCGCAATACCACTACTTGGCAAAGCAAGTTGCAGACGAAGTTATGAATA